ACGCCTACATGTAAGTCGACGAGTTTGACCATCTTTGGCCAAAAAAAGTATTTAAAAGTATTTATGCATGAAAAAAGTATGAAAAAAATATAAAAAGTATATTTTCTTAAAAAAAAGTACAATACTTTAAAAAAAGTATAAAGTGGCAGCACTGACAGTGTAACCCCGTTATAACGCGAAGGTTGGGGTTCATAAAATGTCATAGCGAAAAAAAGCGGGGTCGCACTAAATCGGGGTTGTATACGAGCCAAAAAACGATCCAACGATGTCCAACGATTCATCGCGTTATACCCGAATTCATGTTAAATGGCGGCGTAAAATCGGGTTCCACTGTATTTCAGGATGGCTTACCTGTGCCTGCGTCAGCTTTCTGTGATATCGTCGGCGATTCTCGTTTTATGAGTCTACCGAAGAAATCCCGGGCCACCTAAAATATCGCAAACGCTTTTTTTATTTTTCTTGTTATTCTTGTAACGATGATGTAATGTTATCTAATGTAATTATGTAACGTTAAGATAATGTAATGATAATGGATTTTGGCACTGACCCTCTTCTGTCAAGATAAACGAGTGGAGTGACAACAAAGACAACTGACTCTGTGACAAAACGATCCTTTATTCAGCCATGATGATTTCCGCGCCCTTTTCATGCGTTCATATGTTAGTTCATAGAGGGCGACACTGCACAGTAGTGTACCAACATCACATCTCCCTTTCTTTAAGATTGATAGACAGTCCACTGAGTCTTTTGAGATGAATGGGAGACTGTATTGAAATCTGTCTATTGAATCACATATATACTTCCGGAATAAAACCAACTGTTAACTTTTCAACTAAATGTGGTCTCACTCATTTTGAGCATCATAATGAATTGAATCTGTTGAAAACAAACAAGCCTCATATACTTGGTGTTAGTTCAGTTCTTAGCAACGTCTGTACTAGTGAGGCTAGAGTAGAATAATAAGTCCAAAAACCGAGACTAATGTAAACCTGGCCAAAATATAACTGCATGAACTCTGAATAGAAAGGCTAGTAACCTGTCCTGCCTTGAATCTATATAACACTAGAGTCACCCGGTCGTGACTCTGCAAGCAATGAGCAGCGATCCGCCTGACACTCATACTAAGCTTGCAATGCAGCACCCAAAACGCAAAAGTTTAGGTGTCTGCATATCTTGGGTTTGCTTTGATACACGGCCAGCCTTGTAACATACGTGGGAGGCTCCCTTGCGACACTAGAGCCACCACTAGCAGGTTTCCTTTCCCATGAATGGAGGCGATTCCAACCTTGGAGGCGGGAGAGTCCGGGGAGTTCTGCTCTCTGGTAGCTTATTGATCTGGACTCGATTTCTCCTGAATTGTCCTGTAGGTGTGTTCACACGTAAGACCGATCATGCACCTTGTTGTCGACGACTCCGTCTCCTGACGACCTGGCAGGTAGACTTCTTGGCCTTCTTCCAACGAAGGGAGATCTCTAGCACAATGAGACCTGTCGAAGTTGATTTTCGACTGCATCGCGGATATGCTCTTCCTTTCCAGCGGAGAACGACGGGATCAGGAACAGCTGTAGCCCGCTTCTCAGGAACCATAGGGATTTTGGTCCTGATACGACGATTGTACAAGAGTTCAGCTGGGCTAAACCCGCAAGCTAGAGGTGTTGCTACGATAGCACAGCAACGCCGCGTAGGGATCTGCAGCGGAACTGAGCAGACCTTTGAGCGTTTTCACCGCTCTCTCTAACCTCCCCATTTCCTGAAGAATGGTGAGGACTCATGGTAACATGCTGGAACCCGTAGTCGCGTGCGAATCTAGCAAATCATCTGCAGTGTACTGGCCACCATTATCAACTCATAAGAGTCTCCGGAACCCCGCTGCCTAGCAAAGAACGATTTGAGATGGGTGACCGTAGTCTGACTGGTCAAGTCTTTGAGTCGCGCCATCTCTATGAATCGCGAGTAGTAATCAACTACTATCAGGATACTGCATCTTTTCTTGAATTCGTACAAGTCCGCTCGCGACTTTTTGCCAAGGCCTGGTAGGCATAACTGAGGGAGCGAAGCGGGTTCCATCGGATTTCGCTCAGCTTTGCTACAAACGCGACCAATTTTTCACAAGGTCCTCGATTTGACGGAAAATGCGCCGCGCCACCAAACCGACTGTAGAGCGCGCTGGCGGCATTTCACAATCCCTTGATGCCCTTCGTGCAGACGATCCAACATCTCCAGACGAAGGATGAGGGCACGAGATGCGCGAGAGCGATACAGTAAGTAGACCTTGGAACGAATGCGTCAGATCTGCCTTGGTAAGCCCACAGCTATTGCTGCGAGCAAAGAAGTCAGTTGGCATTTGGCAGGCCAACCATCTTCCACGTTACGTACGCCAGTTGCCGGGGATAGCTTCGTCCTCCAACTTGATGTCACGAAATCTGTCGCAGTTGCCGAACGTCGTAGCCGGCACGCTTGTCCAATCACTGAGGGTTGAATACGCGCGTTAGTCTTTTCACAAAAGATCGTAATCCTTGCCTTCCTTTGCGCAGGTGTGCGTCGGCGCACGCGAAAGATGTGTCCGCGATATAGAGCTTGCTTCCAGGCACATATCGATATCATACGCAGAATCGCATAAGTCGCTACGCATACGGCTGTATACGTGGCCCGCAGTTTCCTTCCAGACGATTTCGATCCGTAGTAGCGAAATGAGCGGCTTGTGGTCCGTCTCAAGCGTGAAAACGGAGCCAATCAGATAGTCTCGAAGAGGCGACAGATGCCCATGCGTTGAGCCAACGCTTCTTTCTCGATCTGACGCGTATCTTGGTTTCTGCTGGAGCGAGCGATCTAGATGCGACAGTCCACCGGTTTCCAATGGATCTCCGCATGTCCTTTTTGCCTGATAACAGCCCGAGTCCATATGACGGAAAACTGTCAGCAGTGACGCGTACTCTCGCGAGAAGGATTCATAGAGCATGAGCACTGGCGCAGCAGCAGATCAGCCTCCTTGATCTTCTTGAAAAGCGTTTTCCTGCCACCGGCCCCAAACCCAGTCATATTCTTACAGATAACAACTGTCTGAAGGAATCGTTGGTGCGTCGCGAGGTCTGGGAGAAACTTTCCCCAGATGGTTCACCATGCCATAAATCTTTCGCCCAGATCCTGGACATTGAGTCGGTCTAGGAGCTTGGAGATAGCTTCAACTTTACTAGGGTTACCTTTTGATACCACTTTTGCCCGACTACGCTGACGCCGCCGAAAGCTATTCGACGAAACTCGAAGACACACTTGCACGATTAAGTTGTGACCCCCGCTTCGGCTAGCTTCTGAGAACTTTCTCAAAGGCGATCGGATCTGTTCTTCAACCGTTTCTCCCAAACACTACCAAGTCATCCATGATTCACAAAACTGTCCGGTTCGAGGTCCACGTGAATGTATGCTATTTGACACTGATAATGTTCTGGCTCCGGCAGTTTATCCCGAAAGGCAAACGCTCGTAACAAGTAACGACCAAATGGAGTTATGAACGTAGGGTAGAAGTTGAGACTCCTCGTCGGCCAACTGATCTGATGAAACCCCTGTTAGCGTACCAATTTCCGGAAAATTCCGCACACCTGCCATCTGACCCAGGACATGGTCGACGGGTGGGCATACTCGGTGACGCGGCTCACGTATTTACCGATTCATTTGAGTTCGTTGAAATTCACAGCAGACCCTGATGCCTACCATTTTAACGCCTTTGGAACCCACACTAATAGCGCGCACCACCGGTCTTGTAGCGCTGTGTTCACTGCGTATGAACCCATTTAGTTTCTAAGCGATCCAATTCCTCCTTCACCTTAGGCATTAACGGATCTAATATAATAATATAATATGTATGTGTATTATCAGGTCCTGGTATTATGTATGTTAATATGACAATACCTGATCCGACAATAATGATATGATACCCACTGTGGAGTTGAGAAGGGATGTGTGGGAACTGACATCAGTGATGCGAACCCAAACTAAGAGGTAAGAAGGGGATGGTTTGGAGCTGAAATTAGTGACATGTTTCCTATTAAGAGGCAAGGAGGGGATGGTTGGCAGCTTACCATAATGATATGATACCCACAGTGAGGTCAGGAAGGGATGCGTGGGAATTGACGTGAGTGATGCGAAACCGAACTAGGAGGTAAGGAGGGGATCCTTGGGAGCTGAGATAAGTGATATGTCCCCTACTAAGAGGTACGAAGGAGATGCTTGGTGACAAGCCGAAAATCATTTCTGAAGGTTGCAATGTCTTGCACAGCGGCACCCCCAACCAAACAGGTGCAAGGAGCCACAAGGGTGGCACCCGCTATCTCACCCCAACCTCGCGCGCGACGGCGGCGCCCCCTACCTCGTGACCAACGAGCTGCTTCGCTGCGCACATGAGCTGCCGCCGCTGCTTGAGCCTGCAGTGCCCCCTACCTTGCCCCAACCTCGCGCGCGATGACGGCGCCCCCTACCTCGCCCCAAGCTCACGCGTTACGGCGGCGCCCCCTACCTTGCCCCGACCTCGCGCGCGACGGCGGCGCCCCCACCTCGCCCCAAGCTCGCCCGCGACGGCGGCACCCCCTACCTCGCGTGCGACGAGCTGCTTCGCGGCGTACGTGAGCTGCCGCCGCTGCTTGAGCCCTGGGAAGCAAGCGACCTCTGCGACGTCCGGGTCGGCGACGTACGCGTACACGCCGTCCGCCGTGCGCTCCTGCCTGTAGGTGACGCTGTACGCGATCATGACGGCCACGACGTGCCGCAGCTCGGCCTTCTCGCGCACGCTGTACAGCTGCGTGTTGACGGGGCGGAGAGTCGGACGCATGACCTCGAGGAGAGGTGGCAGCACCTCCATCGCGAGGTCGCGCTCCGTCAGATACTTCCGCACCTGGCGGAGAGCGAGAGGAGGGGGTGATGTTCACTTGTTGAATTTACCAAAA